CAGAATTTGACGTAAAATAGAGCATGCAAAACACGCTAGGGATTCATGCAGCCAGAAGCCCCTCAGGAGCGGGGACGTCTGGTCAGTTTCAGAACTTGGGTTGAAGGTGAAGTAAACTTTTTGATAAACAGAGAGAAAAAGAAATACCAGCAGAGAAAATGGGGAAGAAGTGGACATCTTCCAGGGTCAAGGCTGGCTGTACTGACTGGAGAAGTTTAAGGGAATAGTGGAAAGTGCACTTGGAAATACAGAGTGAAGGGTGTAGAGACCCTTAAACAGCAGACCAAGAAACCAGGTACAATGGGCATGGGCATTTAAATTCTATTGTTTCTAAAATAATTTCACAACTCCTGCACTTTTTAAAACCTACATTTGAACTTATGTCTTTGGTTATGTAGCTTTCAAATTAGATTCAACTGTGCTAACTCTGGAGTTCTGGTTGAGGACTACGGAAAGGAGGAATAAAAAGACTAAAATGTGGAGTGACAGACAGGGAGAAAAACCAATATCCTAATAATAGCTACATTTTCTTTTTTTCAAAATGCAGTATCTCTATGTTAAGTATTTTACATGACATTTAATTTTCCCAAGTGTGAATCATGTGGGCACATGCTGGATACTATTATTATCTCCATTTTCCAGGTGAGGAAACTGAGGCTGAGAGAGGTTAAGTAACTTGCACAAGGTCACACAGCCAGGAGGCGACAGAGGCAGACCTGAAATCTAGTCTCCTTGACTGCAATGCTTCTGTTTGAATTGACTACTTTACTGAAGATATCCATTCTATAATTCCAATCCTAAATGACAGCGGCAGGACGGAGTCGCCCTTCACTGAGATGAGGGGCCTGTGTATTCAGCATGTCGGCACTCTGTGGCTGTGGTTTTGGACATATGGAGGTTGAGATGCTCAGTGAGCACTCAGATGGAGATGCAGTGAGCAGTCAACTAGAAGAGGCAGCTGGATAGTGCAGCCTGGTTTCAGGGGTAGATCTAGGCTGGAGATAGAAATTTAGGACTTGTCAGCAAATACTAATATTTAAATATCTGGTTCCAGGGGGAGATTTGTAAGGAAGTGAGGGCAGTGAGAGATGACAACTAGGAGCTGAACTCTTGGGGACGCCAAGGTGAGAGGGCAAGATCCAGCCGAGGAGATAAAGGAGAGCAGCCAGGCAGAGGGGGCCTGGGAAGCAGGTTCGGATGCTGCTTCAAGGAGGGGCCTATTGTGTCAGGTGTGAGGGCATGTCCAGAAGGACAAGGACTGAGACATACCTGAGCTGGCAGCTGCCCTGAGGGTGGGAGGTGCCACACGGTGGCCACTTTGACAAGAGCACTTTTTGTGGAGGACAAAACCTGAATGGAGTGTGTTCAAGACAGAAAAGAGGCCCTGACCAGATACAAACACATACATAAACATACATATATATGTATATATACATACATATATATATACATACATATATATATATATAGACAGAAAAGAGGAGGAGGACACCAAACCACTGAGTATCTTTCTTCATACCTGTAGTCAGAACGAATTTGCGGATCAATGCGAGTATCATAATTCCCCTTTAAGAAATGGTGCCTCTTAGGAAACTGTACGATCATTGAAGGGCTAGAATGATGATTTATCTCCTAATGCCTTGCACAAGCTTGGTGTTTAAATAACAACTGCAGAATTTAATTAAATGTTGAAAAGAAAAGGAATATTCCTGCTTCCATCTCACACTTCTGTGCTTGCCAACACTTTTGAGGGACCTCCTCCTGCCCCCAACACTAAGACAACAGAAATTGTGTGTGTGTGCGCGCGCGCTAACCAGTAAAGGTCAGATTGTCATTTTGTGTGTGTGATGAATCTTCAATGTGCAGCTCTGGTCCAGTTGCTGAGAGGAGAGCAAAATGAAGAAAGGAAGTCTTATCCTTGTCCACAGGCTGGCTCGTGGGAATCCCAGCGCAGCGAAGCCTTCCAGGCATAGGCCTTATCCTTCCTTGGCCTGTGTAGTAAACGCTGCGTTTGCTCATGAATCCTGGCCTTGTCTGAGTCCTGCTTGGCCCTGAATGTAGTTTTATGAGGCACAAAAATCAGACTGTCGTCCTGAAAACAGAAGATTTGTGTTCCCCCCCAGAATGAAATGGTGGCATCTTTCTCCCAATTCGCAGCTCGGTGGGTTTGTGGCTGGAATGCCAATCCAGCGAGGGGCTGGGCACACCACTCGGATCGCCTGGGGGAGGGGAGGGGGAGCTGGCATGGCTGAGCCCGAGCATCATTCACTCCACGGGCTCTGAATCAGTACACTGACGGCCATTTATGCATAAGTGCTACTCCCACAGAAGGCCATGGATCGAGGAGTCTTCTTCCGGCTACTTTCTCAGGGCTGTGTTCTCTCATGACACATCTAGAACAACTGATGTGTGTGTGTGTGTGTGTGTGTGTGTGTGTGTGTGTGTCGCTCCAGAGACACACTGTGCCGCCAGCAACCAGATGAGAAACCTTAGCAATCAGAAGGCTGCTTTCATGTGTGAAGATCTTTGCAGACCTATGTACATACATATCCCCAAGTTCACAGACTGAAGGAGAGCAAGGAATGGCTAGTTCACGCCGTGTCTGTGTTTCATATGCAGAGTACAGAGTGGCATCCAATTCCAAGGATACCACCAGTAACGACTGGAGGTTGGTAATGTCACAAAGACAGATGCACATTTTGTTCGTGGACCTAAGGACGTGGACTCACTCAGAGAGGAAGACAAGTTAAACAGGGGGCGGGGGGTGTCTTCTGAGAGGTCACTGTGCCTTCAGAGCATCTCTGGGGCTTGACTATATCAGATACCAGCCATGCTCCCTACACACGCCCCTCTCTTCTGACTCCAGTCTCATTTTGAAACTCACTCCACTCAGATTGAGGGGCTCCCCCCTAAGAGTCGTGGGTGAAAAGGAAAGCTGAGCCGAGAAAGCACCGCTTGGAGACTTCTGCACTTGTCTCGAAACAGGAATGGGCTGGGTGCGCTGGGTTTTATGGGGATGTGCGTGTGTGCGTGTGAGGCGTGGCGATGGGATGCTGACCTGGCTTACTTCCTTAGGATGGGGATTAGGAGGAGGCACTCGGCACCTGCCCCAAGGTGGGTCTCCCACCAGCAGCTCAGTCTTTCCCGAAGGCAGGCAACAGTGGGCTTCGGATGCCCCTGCCAACAGTGAGTATGCAGTGGGTCACCCGCCCGGGATGGGCTTGGAGCCCGTGACCAATGGCGCGAGCTCCCTCAGTGTCCGCACTCGGAGTGAAGTAGCACATAGCTTCTCAGACATCCATGAATTTCGATGACCTGTTTATAGCCCTGACACAAGCACCGTTCTGCGAGGGGGTTATACAGTGAGGGACTGTTCCCTGGGCTAGCGAGGTAGTTCTCCCATGTCGGGGCTCCCTCTCCAACACCTGCCCCCCTTAACTTCCTCCCCGCCCCCAGCAGACACCTGACACCTCGTATAACACCTGTGGGGCTTTTATCCTCTTCCCTGCTGGACTGCACACTCTCTGAGGACAGGAGCTCTCTGTCCTGTCCACCATGAGGCCGGGCCTCCCCCGCGCCTCGCTGTGGCACACTCAGCAAAGATTTGGGGCCTGGATGCATGGACAGACCTACTTTGAATTAGACAGAAAGCAGGTCAATGGGCTCCCGAGCTGGTGCATTTGGGGGAGGGGGCATTTGCAGGGCACTTGTTCTAAACTTTTGAAGGAACATTTGAATATCGTATTTCTTGGAATCAACTTTTACAGGACAGCAAGAATACTGCTGGTTAGGAAACTAAACACATGAGCCTAGTGATCTTTTCCCAGTTTTAACAGTTCGGAATTTTCAGCTGCTGTTTAATATTTACAATGTAACTCTTCACACTACCCCAGATGCCGTGAAACTGCAGAGCAATGCACACCATCTATGTACTGTGTTTAGAACAAAGCCTGGCACACAGTAGGCGGTGAAACTGCAGAGAAATGCACACCATCTATGTACCATGCTTAGAACAAAGCCTGGCACACAGTAGGTACTCAACAAATGGCAGCCAGTGTCAGCACCCGTAGCATGGCTGTGCAGTTAGCTGTTATTAAGACAAATATATTGTGTGTCTTGACACATGAGCGTATAATCAATAACTGAGCCCCGCTAATGCTTTCCTGGTTCTAACCTCAACTAGAGGCACTTGATTTAACCCCAAAGTCTGAAAAATACTGTCATTTAAAAGTCCATTAACTAAGGAAACAAATCCCTGAAAAGGCAATGTATTCATTTTTATTTCCTTCTTTATGCAAGGATCTCTTCTCTTTTCCCTGAACACAAACAAATATTTTCATGGTTCAAAGCTCATGCTCTTCTTAAGATCAAAAGAACTGGCGCCTTTCTTTGTACAGGCCAGAAAGTGTCAAGAAAAGAAAATGAATTCTGGATGCCTCCTTTAAAAAAAAAATCTAGTTTTTACAAAGGTATTACTCCGGGTTGTTGGAAAATAATTAGTACATAACAGAGTCAGCCCATAGCGGTCAAAGCTCTTTACATAAACCCACCCTTTACTGCAAAAGACAGTTAAAGATCAATCCGGGCTATGAAACGTAAGAAACAAAATGTTTTCCACGGGAAGACCCTAAGCCGCGGAGACTAGTTAAGTCTTCAGGAACCATTTTTATCCTGCTAACGCCTCTCCCTCCGGCCACCATCGATCACAGATGCAACCTGTCTCGCTTCCCCTTTGATAAATGGAAGGACGGATTCATCTGTATGTAACTCACCTCCGCTGGCTTTTACATAAAACAGATGCCACAGCTGGGACTGTTTGCAAACAGATGTTTCTGCCCCGATGCCTGGGAGGCACCCCTACAATGTGCTGCTTGTTGCGGGGAGCGAGGGTCTGACACCTGCCAGGGCCCGGCGCCTGCAGAGGCCTCTGTGTACCCTCGTCCTACCCAGCGGCCCGGGCTCGCACCCAGAGCAGGACGGGCTGTCCCGCCAGCACTTACCCTCTCTGCGGGGACATCGTGGGCCGGCCCGGGGCACGCAGGGATGTCGAAGGCCTGGTCCTGGCGCGCCGCACACTCGGCCTCCCGGTGGCTGACAGCGGGGGCCTGGTCCTGCCCCTTGTCCAGTTTGAAGAGTTTGTTAAAAAAGCCGGAGTCCTTAGGCTTGGAGGGGGCCGCCCCCCCTGACTCAGGTGGCCGAGGCGCGGGTCCCCGAGTGGCAGCGAGGCCGTGGTGGTCGGCGGGGGTGCGGCCGGGGGTTTTATCGGGGCCGGGGCCCCGCGCAGCTGCCGGCCGCAGGGCCATGCTGTCACTCGCGCCTTTGTCCCCTAGGCCACCCGCGGAGCTGACATCGGGCCGCCCTGGCGCGCGGGGTGGCTCCGATGAATCCTCGCCTCGGTCTCCGGCACGCCCTGGTACCGGCCGCGAGAGAGGCAAGAAAAAATGCGATTTAGCAGCTGGTGCCCGGGGCTTGGCCTGCTTCCCGAGATTCTGCCCGCCGGCACCCGCGACGGCGCTGGTCTCCACTGTCTTGGGGGAAGAAGCGGCCGCACTGTCTTCCTGGACGCTGATTCCCAAATCCACTGCAAACACAAACACACACACAGCCGTTATTCAGCCCAGCCCCGCGAGGAAACGCAAGGGTGGGTGACGGACGACACCCGCTTCACACACCAACGCCACCGCGCACTAGGCCCGTGGCCATCACCCTGCAGAGCAGAGGGTGGCTGTCAGCTGTCCCCGACCCTACTCCCCCCCGGGAGAGAGGAACAGAAGGTCCGAGGAGGACGCCGTGGTGGGAAAGCCCCACCAGGTGCTGCATTCCCCGGGCTCAGGCCCAGGACCTTCTGCATCTCCGCAGGGACCCTGAGGCGCATTGTCCCGATGTCCCCTGGGAGGCAGGGGCGGGAGGAGTCTGGGCTCCGCATCTGGAAGAGGCTGCTCAGCCTTGGGACTCCTGGCACCTGGGTGGGTCCTTTGTTACGGGCCCGCCTCGTGCATTGGGGTGTTTAGCAGCATCCCTGGCCTCAACCCACCAGATGCCAGTAGCGCCCCCAAGTTGTCACAACAAAAAATGTCTCCATACACTGCAATTGCCCCCTGGTGGCAGGCGGGAGGTGAGGGTGGGGGACGGGGAAGGGCGGGGGGGCGACTCGCATTTGGGAACCACTGGGGTTGAATGCCTATCTGAATCCGGGTTACTTCCTGTCCTGTGCCTCGGCAGCCTGGTAAAAGGAGGCGTTTTGTTAGGAAGATGCGTGAGTTAGCATTCTTAGAGCACGTAGAACAGTGCCTGGAACACTAGCTATTGTCAGGACTCATGAGTGAGGAAACAGCCAGGGAGGTTACCGTTAGAAATCTGCTGAGAATATGAAAGGATTTCAAAAATGAAGACTCAGAAGTTTCTATTTTAAGGCTAGAAGAGCAGATGTCCACACAAGAAGGCAACTCAGACCCCAGGCCCGCGTGGCCTCAGGCACGTGGGGTCAGACAAACACCGGGGTGAGCTGCCCGGGACCGCCCCTTCTGCAAGGAGGACTCTGCTGCCGGCATCTCTTTTGCTTTGACCTCTGCATTGACCTTCAACTGCCTTCTTCTCTAGGCCCCTGTTATAAAGCAATGCGATATACCACACATTTTGGAACCACAGTTAAAGATCAAGCTTTTCTACTGCTAAGTTGTATGGCCTTAGACGAGTCACTAAACATTTGGAATGTCCTCGTATGTAAAATGGGAATAACAGTAGCTCCCGTGCAGGGCTGTTGAGGCGTTTGAAGGAGAAAACTCTTGCCAAGGGCCTGGCACACTGCCTTTTCCATAGTGGGTCTTGGTAGTTGGCAGATACTGTGATTATTGTTAAGGTTTCTTCCATGCCTTTGCCAACATTGCTTTCTGCTTTATAATTTGCTGACAGCTACTGCTTTAAAAAATATTGATTTGAGAGAGAGAGAGGAAGGGAGAGGGAGAGAGAGAAACATTGATCCACTGCCTCCTGCACGCCCTCTACTGCGAATTGAGCCTGCGACCTGGGCATGTGCCCTGACTGGGAATTGAACCAGCGACTTCCTGGTACATGGGTTGACGCTCAACCACTGAGCCACACCGTCTGGGCGACAGCTACTTCTTAAATATCTGATTGTAGGAAGACAGAGAGAAAGAGAAGGGGGAACTGAGGCTCTTTTGGCCTGCTCATAGTGGGCATGAACATGGAGTGAGGCATACTACACACATCCATCCATTAGCAATTGTTGCCAAATTCTAGTATCTCCCAGTGTCTACAGTCAGGAACAAACATGAAGAGAGAGAGAGAGAGAGAGAGAGAGAGAGAGAGAGAGAGAGAGAGCACTGGATTCTTGTGCAGAGGGCAGCCTCCCCATTAAGCTTCGAGGAGCACAGAGGAAACCCACCGGGGACCCATGGCAAGCACCAGGGTTTCCTCCTGAACTCAGACCTCAAGGAACTGCCTGCAGGAACATTGACCACAACTTCTAGCTCTTCTTAGCCTTTTCCCTGTGGTCCCGGAATTCATCATCACGGTCAGTGTTACTCTCAGGGGCGACAGGAGGGAGGGGAAGCGCAGGAGTAAGAAAGTGATAGATGAGTATGTCGGGTGCCAAGGAAGCCAGTAAGCGGCTGAAGTGTCAGAGTGAATATAAATGAATTGCGGGGCTGGTCCATGCCAGGAGAAAAGGAAAACAGCTGACAGAAAGGGAGAGACTTCGATTCAGAAGAAGGAAGGGCTTTTCAAAATGCCAAGAGCATCACTGATCTCTCTCGGTCCTTTTCCTCTCTTCCTCTCTCTCTGGCTGGAAACCAGAGGAACAGAGGCGAGTGCTACAGCCGCAGAAAATGGCTCTGAAAAGCATTTCCTGTGGACAGATTTTTTAAAATGCCAATATATTGCTTTGATCAAGGATGCATTTCCTACATCCTGGGATCCAGATGAGACTTCAGTGCATTTAGAGATTACTACAGATGCAAACCATTGCTCTTGATATCACAGAATGGGTGAAGTGTTTTTTGATAACTTGTGAGATCTAGGACTCCTTACATGGGACATTCCATGACATCGAAGCTCTGCCCCCCAAATTGGGTGAGTGCATACCCATGCCCATACCCTGGAGCTTGCTAAATTGCTCACCTCCCAGGTGGGCACATGACCTGAGCAAGACTAATCAAATCCTGGGAGTTTTGCCATTAGAACAGAGTTTTGCCCTTTGGGTTAGCAAACAAGTAGGGGGTACATCGGAGCTGGTGGCCTTGGCCATCCCTTTTTGGAATGCTTGCCCGCAGATGACACTAACACAGATGAAAACAGAGCCAGAACATCAAGGAGCAGAGAGAGGCCCAAGGATAGCTTTTGGACACCTGGATCCAGCTCTGCCTGAAAGCTGGACTTTACCATTACAGGGCTAACAATCCCCCTACCCTGCCCCCGACTCACTTATGCCAGTTTAAGTTATGTACATACTCAGTGACTTGGAGAGAATTTCAGGGGCTTGGTCAGTACCTATTTCACTAGACAATTAGTGGCAACCAATTCTCTCCTTGAAATGGAGTTTCCAGGCTCTTCAAGTCTGCCTGGGAGGCAGTTAGTATGGGAAGAAAGAAGGTGAAGAGAATGAAATGGGAGGAAGTGAGTTCTAAGGAGCCGGATAGAAGTGAAAATCACTTTGTCTTCTCAGTAAGAGGAAAGGAATCCACTTGGGGAAATGAGATTACAGTCATTTGTGACCTTAGATCAGTGGTTCTCAACCTTCTGGCCCTTTAAATACAGTTCCTCATGTTGTGACCCAACCATAAAATTATTTCCGTTGCTACTTCATAACTGTAATGTTGCTACTGTTATGAATCGTAATGTAAATATCTGATATGCAGGATGGTCTTAGGCGACCCCTGTGAAAGGGTCATTCGACCGCCAAAGGGGTCGTGACCCATAGGTTGAGAACCGCTGCCTTAGATAAACATTAAAAACAAACATGTTTGAAAACATTAACTTACACATACACATAGTCACACACACAAATCCAATCTGCGTGAGTGAGCAGAAGGAGATCCACTGGAGCCCTGGCCGGGTAGCTCAGTTGGTTAGAGCGTTGTCCCGACATGCCAAGGTTGCGGGTTCGAACCCTGGTCAGGGCACATATAAGAACCAACCAATGAACCCATAAATAAGTGGAATGTCTCTCTTTCTGCCTCCTTTCCTCTCTCTCTAAAATCAGTAAAAAATTAAAATAAAAACCCATTGGAGTGACAGGTTTTATGCTCTTACAAAGATGGGAATAGTTTATGTGCTTTGCTCACATTATTCTGGAAAGAATAAAATTCCCCTTTCGATGAGCAGAACCGAGCTTTCATTCCCTAGGAGGAAGCTTGGGAAAACCCAGCCCATCTTGAATCTGGTTTCAATAAAAGGTTTTCTCCTAGAGCAAACAGACGACATACCAAAGAGTTTCACTTTCCATGAAAAAAATGTGCGAGAGTTTAAGGAAGATGAAACGGCAGCAAGTACAGGCCAAGGGCAGCCCGGCGTCAGGAGGGAGGGACATAGATCTCTTCAGTGCAGGAAAGACACTGTGTGTGGGTGCCCGGTTTTCTTTCCTAAGAAAGTCATGCTATCCCGCGGGGGACTGAGCACTGGCTTCCAGGGCAGCTCAGGGCAACTGTTAAAGAATTCACATTGTGGATCAGAAGGGCCTGGGTTTAACACTGAACCCGTCATTTATTAAACACCTGACCTAGTCAGGCTACGTCAGCGGTTCTCAACCTGTGGGTCCCGACCTCTTTGGGAGTAAATGACCCTTTCACAGGGGTCGCCTAAGACCATCCTGCATATCAGATATTTACATTACGATTCATAACAGTAGCAACATGATATTTATGAAGTAGCCACGAAAATAATTTTATGGTTGGGTCACAACATGAGGAACTGTATTTAAAGGGCCAGACAGTTGAGAGCCACTGGGCTACAGCTTCTCTTTGTGCCTCAATACAATTATAAAACAAGCAAGGAAATCACAGTGCCTTCTTCACAGAGTGGCTGTAAGGATTAAATGACATATTTTCTGGAAGACACTGAACACGGCAGGTGGTAGGTGGTGGTATTCAGTAAACATCAGTTGTTTCATAATATTTACATATTATTACTACAATCACCAGCTTACATTCCTAGATATCAGTCATAAAACAACGAGTTATTCCAAGGGCTCTGGAAAGACTTTAAAAATAGAAATGCAATGCATTAATTTATCCTCAGAAATCTGAGAATATGGGCCAGAGAAGTTTCAGGTAAGGGTATCATTTAGGCACCAAGTATTCTGAGTCAAAGCAAGCTGCTTCATCAGAGTTCTAATGAGATATTTAAAAAATATATACAGTTTGTATTACAATATGGAGAATTTTGGAGGAAGGATTATCTTCTCAGAGGTCATTTTAAAAAGAACTCATGGCTGTGGCTGGTTTGCTCAATGGCTAGAGTGTTGGCCTACAGACCGAAGGGTTGAGGGTTTGATTCCTGGTCAAGGGCACATACCTTGGTTGCAGGTTCCCCAGCCCTGGGGAGGGGCGTAGGGGTGGATATAGGAGGCAACCAATCGATATGTCTCTCACAGGTCAATGTTTCTCTCTCTCCCCCCATCCTCTCTCCCTTCCACTCTCTCTAGAAATCAATGGGAAAATATCTTCAGGTGAGGATTTAAGCTTAAAATAAAATAAAAAGAACTCATGATTTAACCCCCTGGGCAGTCTATTGGTTTAAGAGGAGAAAATAGAACTGAAAAGGGGACCGGCCACTGGTGACCTCCCACCCAGGCGGCCCCTCCCCGTGGGCACACACACAGGAACACTTTATCGTGGGCAGGATGCCTGGTGAGCCCGGAGCCAAGCAAGCACGCGTGGAGTTGGCTATAGGGCTTAAATGTTTAATGCTTCCTGCTGGGATAACCTGGTGGTGGTGATTAAAAAAAAGAAGTGTAATGTGATATTTACATTACACTTCATAACAGTAGCAACATTACATTTATGAAGTAGCCACGATGTCTTTGTTAAGAGATGTGAAGTAGGAAAAAACTACAATAGCAGAGGTTGGCATTTATGATGTGGCCCGCTTGGGGTTTGGCCCGCAGTGTTTAGATTTCGTTGAATTGGGAAACTTCATTTGAAATTCCTAAAATCCCGCTTTCATTGCAACCTCTTCTTATTGGCTGAGGGATTCCCGCAGGGCAGCCGGCCGGAGCTGAGTGGCTCCTTCTAGACCAGTCGTTCTCAACGTGTGGGTTGAACGACCCTTTCACAGGGTCGCCTAAGACCATCGGAAAACACATATATAATTACATATTGTTTTTGTGATTAATCACTATGTTTTAATTATGTTCAATTTGTAACAATGAAAATACATCCTGCAATATCAGATATTTACATTACGATTCATAACAGTAGCAAAATTACAGTTATGAAGTAGGAACGAAAATAATTTTATGGTTGGGGGTCACCACAACATGAGGAACTATATTAAACTTCATTAGGAAGGTTGAGAACCAGTGTTCTAGACGGAGCGATTCCAGTCCTCTCTATGCCGCCAGGGATGCCCGGGGGGGCCTCAGAAGCAGGGTCTGAGGGAGAGTCTGAATCCCTGGGGGGCATGTGAGAAAACATGGGGGGGTGACCACCACCAGCACTAGTCGGGAGCTGATAAGCCTCCTACTGACCTGTGGGCAAAATCACAAACAATTCCCAGCTTAGAGGGCACAGTCCTCTTAGCATAATTAGGCTTGACCTTGTAACACTCCCTAGATCTTATCTGGGAAGCTAATGGGCTGAGGAAGTGCAGGAAATATAACCATGGTGTAAACAAGTGAAACTCACAAGAACAAAAACAAGTGAAACTTACAAGAACATTGTAACTATGGTAACCACTACCTTGTTTACCTCTCACTATAAAATAAAAGCTCAGCTTGCCTTGGGATCTTTCTCTGTGGCCTCAGCCAGGCACAGGGAAGATCCACGGAGACTAAGGAAAGCTAGAGAGCTCTGAACGTTCTTCGCCGACTCCGTTCACACCTTTGGGACCCCCCTGGACCCACTGGGGCTGGACCCCAGCAAGCACTTCTGACCCAGGAGGGAGCCAGGCTCGGCTTACAGGGAAGGTCAGAGCAGCGGTTTTAACCAGGGGGCCTGTCTGCCTCCACAGGCCACACTCGGTGATTTTACTCTGTTGCTTTCATCTCATCAGCCGTAAATCTCGGCCTCCTCAGCTGCCCCGCACCAGGAGAGCTGAGAGCTGTTTGAGTTGAATTGTGTGCCCACAGAGGATGGAGTCCTCACCCCCAGTGCCCATGACCCCCTTTGCAGATGACCAGGTATGGATGAGGTCACCGAGGAGGAAAACCCGGTGTGGCCGCACCTTATACAAGGGGGGATTTGGACAGAGACAGACGCACGGGAGGACGATGCTGTGGGGACCCAGGCACCACGTGGAAGCCGAGGAAGCCTGAGGCCCCAGGAGCTCACACAGAGGCGGGAACGGCCCCCCCACAGGCCTCAGAAGGCGCCACCCCTGCGACACCTCGAGCTGGGACTTCTGGCCTCCGCACTGCGTGACAACCCATTTCAGTGGCGTAAACCACCCGCTGGGACACTGTTAGGCACCCCCGGTGACAGACACAGGTGTGCCCAGGTGAGCCTGGGCCTCCGATCCTCCATCTCACTTCCCCGTCACCAGGATCAGCAGTCCCAGCCCCGAGAGGCCCCGTGCACTGACCTTCATCGTAGAGTTGTACTGTGTAGGTCGACACCATCACCGGCGTCCCGTTGTGAACACAGTTCCTCTTCAACGCCACCTGCACAGACACGTGTCAGTATCAGTCAAGTCAGACCTCAAGGCCACGGGGTGCCTCCCGAGATGAAACTTAATTTAAAGATCGTATTTCTGGGAACTCCCAGCATTCCCTCCAAGAAATGCCATCTCCCCACTAAAGACCGGATTCCCGGGACCCTGAGAATACCACTTGTCTGAATCTCAGCTCAGGAGCCCGTGGGCGCAGCAGGGGGGACCCACGGGCAATGGAACGCCCAGGCTGAGTGATCAGTGGGGAACATTCAGCATGTGACTCTGAAGCCTGTGAGGTTAACCTTGCCCCACCGTCCTGCACACACAGCCGGGCCCTTAGCACACCTGTCACACCCAGGGACCTCGCTGCAGCCTCTGCCTGCTCCACACTCCCCACATCTCATGCTGCAGCCTTTTTCCAGTTTTACGGCCCTGACCTGATATTTTTCTCTTCTGTTATTTATTGTAGATATTAAAGAAGATTGTGTGTGTGTGTGTGTGTGTACACACACATACAGACATACACATATACACACATGGAAAGCATGTGTGTGTGTGTGTGTGTGTGTACACACATAGACATACACATATACACACGGAAAGCCAAAAGTCACAATAGAGAAAATAATGGTATGTCATGTCAGTTAAGTAATAAAATCATCTGAATTATACCACTAATAGTTGACATTAATTGACTGATGTTATGCTAAGTGCTTTGCACATGGTGTCTTATTTTGCGGATTCTGTTAGTGGTGTAAACTGTTAATAGGTGCAGAGAAAAATAAAAACGAAAAGACTAAACAGCAGCAACCAGCTAAAAGGTGGGGCCTTCCTGGGGGGACACAGAAGACTTTTCCTTCCTTTACATTTTTTAAATGGTTTTCATTGTTTAAAGTAAGCCCGTGTTCTCGAGTTTATCGTGAACTCTACCAAGAATTCACAAAAGTGAAACATCAAGCCCACGTGACCATGTGGCCCCGAGGTTACAGCCGGCTTTCCCGGGCCAATACGTGGGGTGCAAAGTGGATTTATTTGGCTCACAGAATTTTAAAAAGCATTTTGGAATCAGCTGCCAATATTTAAAAATCAGGAGATTCCATCAACACTGTTTTCCAACTCCTGATGGAAGTAAGAGTCAGGGACCTCTTGGCAGTGTACATTGGGCAGAGCCCACACCTCCGAACGGGCCCAGCACACGGCCCGGCTCCCTGTGACCGCCTCGCCCTGGAGGCCAGAGGCTCCCGGGCCAGACATGGACTCACGGGGCAGCTTAGAACCTGCTGCTGCCGGGCCCCACCCGGCGGGTTTCAGCTGGCTGGGGGGTTTCAGCCCTCAGGGTTTTAGGAGTCCGAGGTAATGAAAGTGTGCGGTCAGGTTGAAACCCGCTTTGAGTTTTCAGCCCGTTCCTTCAAACCCAGCCTTCCATTCCGAGCAGGAATTCCCCCTGTGACCTGATCAGTACTCGCTCACAGGCATCATCTTCCTCCTGGAGGAATTCCAGGTCTCACTGACGCCATCTCTGACACCCTGATGGTGGAAGTGCCGGCTCTCCACTCCCTGGCCACAGAGACCTGAGGAGAAGGCTTCCAGAGAAGTCTTTCAAAGACAAATTCCTAAACGAGTGCCCCCTGCCCCCTTGGCTGCACAAGCCACAGGCGAGGGGCTCTGGCCTCCCTCCTCACAGGTTCCTATGCACTTGGTCCTGGGTGGCCGCTGGGTCCCGGCTGATACTGATGTGCAGCGAGGCTTCGAACAACGGGTTGTCCCCTGGGCTGTCATCCTCCCACGGTGACATTTGAGCCTTGTTCTGTGCACGGAGGATGTTTAGCGGCATTCCCGGCCTCTGCCCACTAGGCCAGTGGCACTACCTGAGTTGTGACTACCAGAAATGTCTCCAGACATTGCCAAGTGCCCCCTGGTGGGGACAGGCAAAATCACCCCCAGTTGAGAACCACTGACCCAAACCCACCTGGGAGCAGGTGTCACATGGGCTCCAGAGGGATCACCTTGGAGGTCCTTAAAGACACAGGATCCCGAGGCTCCCAGCCCTGCAGCTTCTGATTCAGGGAGTCTCCGTGGGGCCCTGGCGCCTGTGTTTTTGCCAAGCTCCGTGATGGATTCCGGAGGTTACAATGCAACTGGACAAGCCATGGGGAGAGCGGGCCCATGGAGTGAGCACTGAGCAAGCCATTAATTCATCCCCCCTGCCTCCTGCCCACCCCTCCCCCCCGTTCTGCCTGGTGGTAGCTCATGTCCAGTGACCGCAACTACTCTACCTCATGAGCGTCTGTTTCTGAATCGTTCTCTTGCTCTTCAGCTCTTTGGTGAACACTCATTTGGTTACCCATGGTTCCTGCAAGAGAGAACAAAGAGAAAGAAATTAAAATTCAAGACAAACAAAAGTAGAGACCGGACAGGTGACTGTGGCATGTCATCACAATGGCCTACATTTATTTGGGGGAGAGAGACATTTTAGACCGTTAATCCACCAAGTTCAAGTCAAATGCAGCCCTGGTTTTCAATTGCGTTTCATTTCTGGGGTAAATATTTATCATGATGAACAGTATATTTAGTGTGGGTAGCATTTCTTCCCTCTCGGTCACAGCTTTCATACCCAGGAGATTTTAGGATGAAGATAATTAAAGGAATACTTACAATTTTTAGCATTCCCTGATCCTCAAACTAAATTAGGCCCCTGTTAGAACCCATCCTAGCACGAGATTTTTTATTTTATTTTAGCATTTGGCACTACTTGTGATTATATATTTATTTGGCTATATTTTCCTCATTCACTGATTCAACAAATATATACTGAGCACCAACTCTGCATCTTACGCTGCCCCAGGCACTAGGGTTACAACTATGAATTAAAGAGATGAGGCCCCTGATGTCACAGAGCTGCAACCTGGGGGTGGGGGGGGAGGGGGGGAAGTGGTGGTGGGTGGACAAACAATAAACAAATAAACAAGAAACCCACGGTGACATTTGACCAGGCCACTTCTGATGACAAGGCAGCTTGGTAGGTGGTTATGAGCACAAAGCTGGAGCAAGACAACCTGAGCTTCAACCCTCTTTCTGCCTCTCATCGCTGTGTGTCTTCGGGTGAGCAAATTAGCCTCTCTGTGCCTCACAGGAATCCTATGTACTAAATCAATTAATTCTTGCTAAGTGGTTAGAATAATGTCTAGCTCATAAGAAGCAATATAGAAGTGTTTGTTAAACAAAGGACACAGGATATGATGCCAGGAATAAAATAAATTGCTAACATAGCAAGAGGGGGCCATGGTAGAGGGCAAGAGGCCCAAGTAACGACTGGCCCAGGCTTGGAGGGCAAAACTGAATATGTAACTTCTGCCCCTCCCCCTACCCCCCATACATTGTAAGAACCAGGAGGGTAGGACTGTCCGTCTTACCCACCATTGCATCTCCTGTTCTCCGCGCCGCATTTCCACGTATCACGTGCTAACCATTACTTATTGGTTGGAGGGAGGGGCGCCTCATGGGTAACTACCCTCACCTGGCATGTTGGGCCAGACAAGCTCATACCATCGAGAGCCTCTGAGCCTTGTTATAATCACAGTGCTAACAGCCAGCAATTACTTCGCATGCTGTCCCCGACGCTCTGTTTTCCAAGTGCCTTTCCTGCATCTTCTCATGTGGCCCCACAGCACCTGTGAGACAGGTGTCATCATCTCGCTCCGAGTCCCAGGAGGCTCCATTATGTCCCAAAGGTCACCCAGGTGTATGGCAGAGGCAAGATGCAAACACAGGCTGCCGCGCTCCTGACCGCTGGGAAGCTCCACGCTTTATCACCTCCCTCGAGAGGAGGGAGTCGAGTCTCCCAAACCCATCCAGGACACGTGGCCGAGCGCGGATCTGACCCAGAGTCCGTCCGGTCCCAGGAGTGGGCTCTTCCAGCTGCTCTAGACCTGCTGCCTGGCTACCTAATCACTACTTCACACACCGCAAGCGATTCCAGCGGAGCCCCACCTCCAACACCTGGCCGCGGGCCCACCCGCTCTGGCGGCTTTCAGAAGACAAGCCAGGCCTGACTTCTGTCTGGAAGCAGCCAGTGCACCTCCAAGGGTCCCATGGGCCTCTCGCCCACGTGTGAGTTTTTATGCCCTGGAAACTGACACGTCAAGGAAGCAGAAATTACCGAGGCCGAAAGGGGCGTAGATCTCACCTCCCGTTCTCTCGGGGAATCTGGTAGATAACAGGAGCTGGGGATTTGACATGCTCTTTAATTGCACCAGGTAATAACGCCGAGCAGCACTAACACATACAGGACGCTCGGTATTTCGCAGTTTTTCTATTTGTAAAATCCAGTGTACGTAATCTCAATAGGTCATCACTCCATCTACAAAGGGGGCATTATGAATACAACACTGAATCCTCAAGACCAGGTCGGCACATGGCAGCTGAGGGACAGAGCCCGCCCGCAGGCTGTTTGGTCCAGCCAGTGAGCTAAGCACGGGTTTTACATTCAGAAGTGGTTGGAAAAATCAGAAGAATCATGTATTGCGACTCATGATATGATGATATGAAATTCAAATGTTGGTTTTATTGGAAGACAGCCATGGGTGCAACTCACCTCTCGAGTCTGCCCACACTCCCTGATCTGAGAGTGTACTTTGTTTTAATTAATCTCTGTGCTTTACTAGGAAAAAAAAAGGAAGACAGCCACACTCATTTTCTTAATTTTTTTTTTATCATCGATGTAAAGCTTTCTGGAAAGCTTATCAATCCCTGCTCAAGATCACTCTGGGTAATATACACTCATTTTGCAAATAAGTGGATTGAGGGGGCTGAGAAATTGTATGTTACCCATAGTAAGACTGACCAGGATTTGAACCCACTGTATATAAAAGAAAAAGACAGTAACAGCTCTAACAACCATACTAATCAAATAGTAACAACAAATTTGGTGAGTGCTGTCCATGTGTTGAGAAACTGTTCTAAGAGGGTTGCTTGCAGTAAACTAATTCACTCCTTTACAGCCAATCAGCATGACCATTTTACAGATGGGAAAACTGAGGCTCCTAGGTTAAAGGTTGGACCCAGGCAACAGGCACAAATACACACACAGCAAACTCTGTCTCCCTAAATGCAGCTTTTTACACAACCTTTAAAACTCCTAGTACAGTGGGGCCTTGACTTAGGAGTTTAATTCGTTCTGAGACCGAGCTCGTTAAGGAGCTCGTTAACTCAAATTACTCTGTCAAATCCAGGAGAGACAGCTGGTATCTCAAAAAAAACTCGTTAGTCGGGACACTCATAAGTCAAGGTCCCACTGTATTCAAGTTAAATTCAGTCCAAGTTGGGGTTTGAGGTTATGAAAATGTTTGAGGCCACCTATTGGCCAATGTCAGTATCAGCAGAAATGAATATTCAGCCTACACAAGGTGAGGTCAAAACGTCTGGGGAGGGCAAAGAAAATGCGTCCCAATTAAACCTTCACAATTAAAACATCAGTTAAAAGTTTAGCAATTAAAAGTTGGCAACGGAATGGCAAGTCTTTTAATGCCCAAAAGCTAGTACAAAGAATAGAACGGTGACTATAATCACAACAGACGTGCAGGACGGGCCTGCCATGTGCCAGCCAGTGCTGGGCGCTCTGGGTAGAGAGCAGTGTAGCATGTAGGCAGGGATGTGGGCTCTGGAGATGAACCCTGAGTTTGGAATCCCTGCCAGGCTTCATTCTGAGTATGTGACCCTGGGCAAGTTAGTGAGCCTTGCTGGGCCTCAGTTTCCTAATCTGTATAATGGGGATAACCACAGCCCCCATTTTAAGAGGTTGTTGTGAGAATTAAATTAATCTATGCAAGGTGCCCTGGGAAGGGTCTGGCACATGATGATGCCCATGCAAGTGTTGCCATGGTTAGGATTATCGCCATCATTATTATTGGTACTAGAGGCCCGGTGCATGAAATTCGTGCATGGGTAGGGTCCCTAGGCCTGGCCAGCGATTAGGGCCAATCTGTGGGGTGACCAGTAGTGCTTCACCATCCCACCATGGCCTCGCACTTGTTGGGGCCCATCGGGGCCGGCATCGTCTCTACTGTCGCCCACTGCCAGTGCCACATCGCTGACACCTGCTGTGTTCCACATCACCCCCTGGTGGTCAGTGCAAGTCTAACTCCCAGTCTGTCAAACTCCCACCCGTGGGGACAATTTGCATATTAGCCTTTTATTATATAGGATTTTCTGTCAGTGCCCCCCGAAAGCTCCCTGATGATAAGACTCAACTGAGGAACCCGCCAGCATTTCAGATTCTTGCCAAAAAGCCAGGTTGGGGCCCTGGAGCTGTAGTTTTAGCAAATACACAGGTACAGTGATGGTGACATCTGTCCCAGGGACAAAGGTGTTCTGGGAGGCAGGACTTTCCTGTTACAACTAGGATGGGCTGAACACCTTATTAGCCTCTCCAGGACTCTGTGAAATAAGGGCTCTTTTTATCCCCATTTAACGGATGACAAAACAGAGGCTCAGAGCAATTCAGGCAATGATTACTGGGACGTTTTCTCAAGTCTCCAACAAAAGAGACAAATAAATCAGATAGAGGTTTTCATCCAGGAAAATGTCTTCATTTGAAAGAGCTCGCTTCTATTTGGAGACGGGCAACATTCGAGGGTGGTGTCACGTTGCCCCTTTCTTTCAGGAGCTGATGGTGTTAGTTGTTTTGCTTTGGTGACCGTGGCTGACATTAAATACGAGGTACCCTGTGGCAGAGCGTTTTGTTTTTGAAATTGGACTCGTGTTTGAGGGCCTCGCATTTTGAGAACGTGGGGTAAATCTTTCTCTGGGTGGAGGTCATTCAAATGAGGAAGTCCCTTTATTTCTCCATTTCCCCGCTGTGTCCTTGAGGCCAGTCCTCAAACTGGGCCACACTTTAGAATCACCAGTGACATTCCAATCCCGCCTCAGGCCCCAGCCAGACCGATCCCATTGGCCCTTCAGGGCTGGGGCCCGGCATCTCTGTAGTTTCAAGATCTCGAGATGGTTTCCATGACAGCCAATGCTGAGAGCCACTGTTCTGGGTATTTTGAGGTGAACGTGTGTCCCTGGCTGGGAACCTCTTGGGTGCAGCCTTCCCTGACTCACAGAGCCAGGCTGGGGATTCCCAGATGCAGGCAGGGCCCTGGGGACCAATCACCACCAGCCGGGGCACCTGAGCATGTCCCCAACCTTCCGGGCACACCTTGTTGGCCAGTTGTGTCAGCCTGCAGAGACACACCTGGTCTGCAGCGTTCTTTTCCTGAAACGTGTGCAGGCCATGCTTGCTCCTGGGCAGCCTCGCCTTCCCACTTGGCTGTGAGAAGGGAGGAGGGTGTGGGTGCCCCCGGGGAGGACGGCGGAAGGGCTGCCTGATTTGGGACCACTCACCCTCCTCCTCTGAGAGAGAGCTAAGGCCTGAGCAAGCCTCCGTCAGTCTCACCATGCTGAGGCCTGCAGCAAGGCATGCGCTCTCTGGTTGCATTTGTCTTGTGGAAGGGGCCAGTATTCACCATGATGACAACATTAAACACCTTGCGTGTTTGCTGTTGTGTGTGTCCTCACTTCCCTGGCCTGGGCAACCACCCTCTGGGTTAGATGCTATTATTTACTCAAGTTTCTGGTGAGAAACTGAGGCACAGAGAGGTCGTGGCACCAGCCCAACAGGCCTTGTACATCACAGTGTTTCAGGGAAGGTTAAATGAGACGGGCACCCAAGTGGTCCTGGGACAGATGTATAGAAATACTAGAGATCTCTCTCTCTCTCTTTATGATCTTATTAAAATGTTCTCATTAGAAATGTGCTGCTCTCCGTTCTGACTCTCAGTCACTCACAGGCAGTGTTTCTTGAACTGGGGGTGGTTTTGCCCCCCCCGCCCGACACACACACACACGCGTAGACATTTCTGCAGACAGGTTTGAGCGTCAGGACTCAGAGTGAGCAGCCACAGTCCACAGGATGCCGGCGGCAGAGGATGATCTGCCCCAAATATCGCCAGTGTCGCGGTGGAGGGACCTGCTCCGGGACTGGACCTAGTGATTTTCTCCTTGTGGTGGCCCAGTGCCTCCTGGGACCTGCTTTTCTGAGATCTGGTTAGGGAGCCATCCCTGGTGATGAAACAGCAAACCCTCTGCCTGGGGTCAGGCCCTCCGCCTGGGGTCAGGCACTGCTGGCACCAGCTGTGGGCAGATGCCTCCGCTCCTGTCTGTGAGGTGAGGGCCGGAGAGAGGAAATCACAGACCCAAGCTCATCGGGCTCCTGTGAGGTGACAGTGGCCTTTACACCCATGATTGATATTCACTGGGTTTACATGCAGGTTAACAGTGAGCCCGCCTCCGGGGAACCCATCAAACAGCAAACCCGGCGCCAGAGGCCGGAGAAAGAGCAATCAGTCTGCAGCCGTGGCAGCGAAATGACTGTGACAGGGAGGGGCAGGTCCTCGGAGGGTGGATGGTGACAGAATTAGTCACCAAGCAAACAGAAATGCCTTGAATGATGGCAAACTGTGAGCCCTCCTCACCCCCCAGTGGAGGGCAGTGCCAACATAGCCAGCCTGGCACACGCAGCAGAACAAGCCCTGTGCCCCTGTCTCCAAAGGCAAGGTCAAGGTGAGTGAAGAGAGCAGACCTGCTCCCCCACGCTCTGTGGTCCTGCATTTCCCCGAGTTCCCCAGCACCACACCGCCAGGTGCAGTGGTACCGCCTGTCTTCTCCACAAGGGGGCGCATGAGGACTGACCGCCCTGCATCCTGCTATGGGACTGCCTGGGACCAGGGGAAGGGGTGCCTTCATTAAAACAGAACTGCATGTTTTTGGGATACTTGCTAACTGATGTCTTAGTCAATTATCCTCCTATATAATAAAAGCCTAATATGTTAAGTGTCCAGCTGTCTGGTCAGCCATTCAACCAATCAAAGCATAATATGCTAATGAAATGCTAAGGCCGCTCAACTGCTCGCTATGATGTGCATTGACCACCAGGGGGCAGATGCTCTGACTGGTAGGTTAGCTTACTGCTGGAGTTCAGCCAATCGGGGCTGAGTGAGATGGGCCAGACACACTCTGTAGCCCTCCTGTGGTCCCTCCCAGGCTGGTCAATCTCCCCAGCCTTGATAATGCACCAGTGGGGTCCCTTGGCCTGGCCTATGCCCTCTTGCCACCTGGGCTGAGAGACACACCCCCCCCAAGTGCATGAATTTCATGCACTGGGCCTCTAGTGTTTATATAAATGGTTGATGCTCCCAGTGTCTTAGAGCTCACTACCTATTCTCAGCATTGCCCAAACATTGTTGAGCTAAGGGCAGCAGGTAACACTGACTAAAGGATTATTGATGATGAGCCAGGCAGGGCCAGGATCAGGGAGAGGCCCAGGTGCAAATGCAAACAGGTGCCCTCTCAGGGTTGGGCAGGCTCGGCCAGGGCGTGTCTCCCTGCTTTGCCCCAGGGGCCTGGTTGGCCTCACCCTAGTCCCGGCCCCAGGGCAGGCATTTTCTTTCCATCAGCTGCATTTTCCTTGCAGCAGCGGTCACTCCCCATTACACAGATAAAGACTCCCAGACCGTGATGCAGTGCCCTCACCCCCAGAAGGTGAACTGCGTGAGGGCAGGCACCTCGCTTGTCCTGCTTGCTCCTGGTGAGCCCCCAATCCATATTTGGCGATTAAGTGGAGAAGTGGTCCCCAGGCCAGAAGCTGTGAAGAGGCAGTTAGGGTCGGACCTGTTTCCACGTGACTCAGGCACTTGAATCCTTAACCACTTCCCGCCCAGCTCTGGGCAGAGGCCAGAGGTGCTGCTGACACTGACAGTCAACAGCTTCACACTGGAGAGGACAGGTGAGCCTGCGTGAACTGGGCCCCCGAGCCTTCCCAGGCTCCCCACGCCGCGTGCACCTCCTGCCATCAGACACCAGCCTCGTGGGCTCTTCCGGGCCAGCACTCCCCAAGTGCCTGCCTTCTCCCTGAAAAGCCTCCCTCCCAGGGCTCCGAGCGCTGGGGGAAAGGATCTCCCAGGACTTGGGGCGCTGGCTCAGTGGCCCACTCTCCTCAAACCTTAGTGTGCCCTCTCCTCTCTTATTTACAGAGGGAGCAGGACTGCACACCCCAGGCCTGAAGCGGTGCCATCACAGCTTGGATGAGGTAGGGGGAGTGAGCCACTAGTGCGAAATGTAAGGAGGACCCAGAAAACTTAGTCCTCAAGGTGAACAATGTATTTTCACACAACCTTTAACGAACCAGAATGAGTGCTGTGACTATCCCATCTGTACCTAACATGTTATTCTGCTCACCATAGATCTCTTGGCATTGGTTTAAAATTTTTTAAATATTGCCTTAAAGTATCATTTATTCTGGTGACTGAGTTTCTGGTATTGCTTAAGTCTGCTCCTGTGGGGAATGCCTCACCCACGTCACTCAAGTCCTGGTCTTGACATGACCTTCTTTCTGTGAGACCCAGAGGTGCCCTCCCCCTGCCCAGCCTCAGCTTCCTAAATGTAAGTGGAGAAGACGACAGGACAGCAGCAACACAAATCACAGCTCACATACGTCACGCGCACACGTGTTCGGGCCCTGGTCCTTCCGCCCTCACGGCCTTGGCTTTGATCTCGGCACTATTATTACCCCATTTTACAGATCAGGAGCCTGAAGCTCCAGGGCCCCCCGCCCTCCAATCACCACGACTCTCCAGGCAGAGAACGAGGCTGCAGACGATGCAAGTTCCTGGGGTTGTGCAGCTGGGATTACAACAGCGAGTGTTAAATAAGACAAATTGCGCAAAAAGCCAGGCTCGCAAATGACACTCAAGGCCTCTTCTCCCTTCTCCTCCCCGTCTGAGACAATGCTCCCAGGGGCCCTCAAAGTCAGCTTCACCGTGGGCGTCCTTGTCCTGACAGTGGTCCCCAAATCACATACCTCACTCCCCCACTGCTGGTTACCCCACCCCCACCCCAAATTTCACTGAAAATGACCCTCGGTGGTTCTCTGCAAATAGGAGCTATTTCTGTTGCTTTGCACCTGGCACTGCCCAATAAGCGTTGCATCCTCTGCAGACCTTTCCGGTAAGGCTGTCTGCGGGTCCATCTCACAGAGGGTGAAACAGGGGCTCACAGACCCCCAAGGCCACACAGTGAGTCAAGGGCAGGGCTGGGGTCAAAAAGCCCTCGCTGACCCCTGCTTCTGCAGGTCCCTGCCCGCCACAAACTGCAAACCCTCACGCCGCGCTCGAAGGACCTAGGAGAGCTCACCTGTTGAGTCCCTGGAGGGAGTGTCTTCAGTCCCTCGGTGTCACTTGGAGCTGCTCAGGTTCAGGGCGCCTTGTCTGCAGCTGGTTCGGCCCAGTACCAGCTGTCAACTGAGCCGGCTCCTTGCCCTTTGCTTCCTCAGCCGGAGCCTGCTGGCTGAATACACAGGCAGGGCAAACACGGTCTGGGTGGGGCCACCTGTGCCCCGACTGCCCTATGGCAGCAGTGTCTCTTCAATAAAAACCAACCAATTGATTTCTTTCACTCTAGTGCCTCCCTGGCACTCCAAGCATCCTGTCCAGGGCCCCTCACCCACTGCGGGCGCTCAGGTTGATCTGGGTAGCTGATTCCTTCCCCAGTTACCATGAGTCATGGGCAGAGCAGGGAAAACACGTTCTGTGGGGTTTTGCAGTTCTGTCCGCCTTTCACCTTCATTTATTCCGGAACACCACCTTCACCACCACTAACCAAAGCATTAGATTGGGAGGAAATAGCATCTCACCCACTGGACTGCCCTGCTCATGTAAACATCACTCCCCAAGGGCTCTGGGCACCGGAAAGCAGGGAACCCTCATTGCTCTGGGGTCAGAGCGTGACATTGGAAGGTCAGGACGGCTGTTTAATTTATTTCATTCCAGGAGGGGTATTTATTAAAATGTCCCACAAGGACCATGCAATACAGTCTGAGAGCATACATTAAAAATAGCTAAAGGAGATGAAAAACAAAAATGGGTACAGCAATGGGATGAGGGTCATCAAAAATGTGCATGTTGATTTACAGACTTGGTATGAAGATACTAGAGGCCTGGTGCATGAAATTGGTAAATGGGAGAGGGGGTTCCTCAGCCTGGCCCGCACCCACTCCAATCTGGTACCCCTCGGGGGATGTCCAACTGCTGGTTTATTGGGATCGGGCCTAAACCAGCAGTTGGACATCCCTCTCGCAATCTGGGACCATAGGCTCCTAACCACTCGCCTGCCTGCCTGCCTGATTTTCCCTAACCCCTCTGCCTGTCTGCCTGGTTGCCCCTAACCACTTTGCCTGCCAGCCTGATCACACCTACCTTGCCCCCTGCTGGCCTGATTGCCCCTAACTGCCTCTGCCTGGGCCCCCAGCCTAAACCGCAGTCTGGCCTCCCTCTGCTGGAGGCAATCTGGCTGATCAGGGGAAGGCGCCGCCCCCATTCCCCTGCTACTGCTGCCACTGGCAGCAACCATGGCTGCCTGAGCCTTGGGCCAGCTCTGGGCAGCAGCCGCCACCATCTGCGGCTTGCCTGAGCCTCAGGCAGCCGCTGTGGCTTTGTCCAGAAGGATGTCGGGATAGTCGTCTGGAAGACGTCCGCCCTAATTAGCATATTACCCTTTTACTAGTATGGATTGAGCTTCCTAACAGCCAGGGCAAAAAGGGAAACATGGTAAATTATACTCTTCAGTGTTCTTGAAAAAACATGTAGGAGAAATGCAGACTAGTAATTACTGTGGCTTCATTCATTAATATGCTCCTCCAAGCATCTATCATGAATACCTGTTGGGTACCAGGCTATAAATAGACTCCGGTTTAGAGAGCTGAGGAGAGAGGCCTGCCCCCACCCTCCTGGGCTCCTTGTGACTGAACACAGAGTCCTACAGATAAACAGAACCACAGAGTGTGAGCCCCACCATGAAGCAAAAGGCAAGGCTGCCGAGAGAGAGAAACAGGGCAAGCCAGAGAAGACCCCTTTCAGAACGCAACATGGAAGGGACAAAAATGGTGTTTAAATAAACACTGAATTCACAAGGGGATGCCCCCTAATGAGGGCTGTGAGCTTGACTCCAGCTCCGTGCTGTACCTTTAAGCCTGGAATGCAATCGACCCCTTTATTAAGCAGCCGCCATGCGCACACACTGTGTTGAGGAGCAGAGGCAGAGCGGCTGCAGGTGCAACGGCTTGGGCTCTGGCCTGGCTCAGACCGTCTTAGACCGACAGCTGCTCTGCCCCCCTCAGCCCCCGTCGCTGCCCTTGGTCTTGAGCGCCTTTGTGCTTATTTTTGTGTCCCCGACCCCCCAGCACCCTGCAAACCATGACAGGCTGTCTTCCCACCACAGAGCAGGTGCTGGGACTACCATTCCTGACTGGACCTGCTCACTCTGAATTATTTGGGACAACAATCGCCACGTGAATGGCATTTGACTCTTCGCGAAGCCTTTTGCATCCCTCCCTCTCAGTTGTGTCTGCACAGTGACTGGGATCTTTGCACCCATTTTACAGAAGAAGAATATGGGGCTTAGGGATCGGAGTGACTTGGGCCAGGAGGGAGGGAGGGCACCGAGCAGCGTGTCTATTGCAGACTCTCACCAAGTGTTAACCTAGCGGTAGTGGCAGAGGCAGGGCCAGTGACAGAATTTGCAGGACCAGGTGCAAACAAATAAAGAAGCAAAGTCCCTTGTAGGAGAGGAAGAAGCATGGCTGAAGGCACTAGATGTGCAAACAGCTTTTCCTTCCTCCACGACATCTCTCTCTCTCTCTCTCTCTCTCTCTCTCTCTCTCTCCCTACTCGTCGTACCTTTCATTTGCTATACAAAGTCATTCTAAGAAAGGAAAAAATAAAATTTCAAGTTATTAGCATGAATTTTTTAAACCCTCACCAGAGGATGTGTTTTCATTGATTTTAGAGAGAAAGAAGAAAGGGGGTGGTAGGAAAAGAGAGAGAGAGAGAGAGAGAGAGAGAGAGAGATCCGTTGCCTCCTGTACGCACTCCAACTGAGGATCAAACCCATTGTGGGCCGCGGTTACGGTGTTTTGGCCAGGTTCAAGCCTCGGACTAATGAAAGGACAGGGTCCTCTCATTGCCACGTGCAAGTCCCAGCTGGAGGGCAGAGCCCTCCCAGCACAATTATAGCCAACGGCTGTGGTTGTAAGCTTGAACCTATGGTCCAAACACATAGCCCCACGTGCCTTGTGCTAGAGTACAGGTGCATGTAGTTGAGTGAAGTTGAAACTCACGAGAATGCTGTAAACAATGTGATCACGCCCCTACTTTGCCTTATAGCATCTGCTATAAAATAAAGACACGGCTTGTGGGCGCTGGCGCTGTCTCCTCATCAGGGAGCAGCGTCCCACCGAGATCCAGCTTTCATTCTCTTGTCTGTCTTTCCTTAATCCTTTCACTCCCCAACTTGGGATCACCCTTGGTCGTGCTGGCGTGGCACAACCCATAACCTAGGTATGTACCTTGACCAGGAATCAAACCCGCATGCAACCTTTTGGCACACAGATGATGCTCCAACCACCTGAGCCCCTGGCCAGGGTATCGGCATGAACATTACCATTCAAAAGCCCTAACCCATGGGCAGATGCCCTGCACTCCCACGGCTCCTAGCTCCTTCTTACCTACACAGAGCAAGTGCCACACAAGCCGACCCAGTGGCTGTCATGTCCCCTCTAGACATTCATACTTCCTCCCGACACCCTCTGCCTTCAGCTCATGACGAGGGCTGAAGGGAGGGAAGCCAGGGATCATGTCTTTCCCTTCTGTGCCATGTCCCCAGCAGAGGGGCTGTCACAGGGCGGGAACCGAGTCGGCAGGGATCTGACACTGTTCTTCGGTTAGAAAGACCTTCTTTCTGTATCTGAGACAGTTTCTGATTTGGACGGAAGGTGTGGCTTCTCAGGGCTGTTAGGGCCCCTACAACCCAGCTGCACATGTGACACACAGACCTTATATTCCCTGCGGAGCTTGCTGGGAGGGTGGCCACCGGGCCCTCTGCCTGTGGGATGCCCAGTGCGAATGAGGCGGCAACAGACAGGGCATGTATATTGTACATCTCTCCCCTGCCCACAGCATGGCTCCCTGTCCATCGATTTGACCCCCTTCACCCAATTGGCATTCTCCCCAGTCCCCTCCCCCTCCAGTAACCACCTATTAATCTTTTAAAAAAATGTTTTTGTTGATTTCAGGGAGAGGGAGAGAGAAACATCAATGATGAGAGAGACTCATTGATCAGCTGCTTCCCGAATGCCCCCTACTGGTGTTGAGCCCGCAGCCCAAGCATGTGCCCTGACTGGGAATTGAATTATGACCTCCTAGTTTATGGATGGGTTGATGCTCAACCACTGAGCAACCCTAGCTGGGCACCCCCATTAATCTTTTAAATGTCTCCATAGGTTTGCCATTTCCAGAAGGTCCAAAAGTTGGGGTCCTACAGCCTGTTCAGATTGGCTTCTTACACTTAGTCATATGCAATCAAGGTTCCTCCACGCCTTTTCATGGCCTCAAGGCTCATGTATGTTTGCAACTATGAGCAAAGCTGCTGTAAACATCCGTGTGCAGGTGTTTCTGTGGACGTATGTTTTCAAGTCCTTTGGGCAACCACCAAGGAGTGTGGTTGTTGGTCATATGTCAGAGCGTGTTCAGTTTTATAAGAAACCGCCAGGCTCTCCCACAGTGGCCGTACCTTCTGCATGGCCACCAGCAGCGGGCAGGACTTCCCATGCCCCCCCAACCCTCCCGTCAGCTTTGGGGCTGCCAGTGTTCTGCTTCGGGACCTTCTACCAGGTTGCCCATGAGATTTACTCCCACAACACAAGTTCAAAGATAAAACTCTTCAAAACTCTAAAGGTGGTGACCTCGGGGCATTAAACCCGCGCAGAGCCCTGGCTGCGGGCATCAGGGAGTCCCCGGGCCCACACCTCAGGGTGGGGAACCGCCTCCCAGGCCCACCCAGCGGCTCCCTGGGGACAGGCTTCCCCGCCGGACATGCTTTAGGTGGTGCTCACCGTCACGCCTGCTTGGTTGGCCTCATAATCTCCCAGCTCGACGGCCTCCACCCTCTTCAAATATTGACGGACTCGTGGAGCTGTCAGCTCTGTTATCAACGGGCGCCCTGGGATCCGGGCTGGAGTGGGTCGCTGTGCTGAGAAGAGGCCCCAGAACCTCTCGGACCCTGTCCCAGGCCTCCCTCACGGGCTGCCCCGCAGACGCCTCCTCCTGCACGCAGGCCTCCACGCACTGCTCTTGATCACCGAGCTGGAGGCGCTCGACCCAGACACTTCAGGGTGGTCCTGCAAGCCCACCTGCTTTGGCTGAGACGGGGAATCTGACGTGTCTTTTGTCGGTTGTGTGCAGCATCACTTAGCATTTTCCAGATCGCTCTCCTGTCGACAATAACGTGCTCC